TACGCTATACATCTCCTACACGAAAAGTTTTCACCGACATTGTGTCAAGTGATTCAGACGGAACAACACGTCTCGACTGTCTAACACGAACAGATCAGCTTCCTTCATAAGCCGACGTATCTGCGCGGGAGAGAAACTATCCACTTCACCTCGCAAGAATTTCTTGAGGTTTAGCAGACGGTGATCCTCATCTTGGTGCGCCTTGATTCGTCTCCACCTTTCCGCTTGATACTCCAATGGTCCTGACTGGGGATTCCGCGAGCATGACTCCGGGTCACGGCCGTCCTGATTCTAACAGGGGTTGGTAGAGGCGCGGACTCGGGTCCTGGCTGAAATCTAGTTGGTTCATCAGGCGGTGTCTCTCGAGTGGGGTCATCTGGGTCCAGAACGACTACCGGCTTCACCAGCTTCTCCGGAATCGAAGACACACATTCCAAGTGCGTCATCTCGTCCGGATCGGTCACGATCCGGGATTATCCAGCCACCAGTGTCTTCTAGGTGAGATAGTCGGCCGCCTGGTTGTATTCTCTCTTGACATGTACCAGCCGGACCGACTTGAACTTTTCTCGTAGGACACCATACTCTGCTAGTCTCCGCTGCAAATTGGGCTGGTTACAGTTAATCAGCATTTGCACTTGCTGTATCACGATACGTGTGTCTCCGACAACAACCACATCTGGGATGTCCCGCTCGGCTACCATGGTCAGACTTTTGAGCAGACCATGGTACTCTGCGTCGTTGACAGTGACTTCTTCGAGTATGAAACCTTGAGCCGTCACTACCTTTCAACCGGGGAGTTTCCAGATGATACATCCACAGCTACCCTGACGCGTAGCCGTCTTAGCGGCGCCATCAAAACTCAACACGTAACCATCAAAGTCTGCTTCCAACATCCCCACACTGATACCCGGTTGGGGCTTCATTTGCCCCTTGAGCGGTATCAGGGATTCACCTACTTCATCCAAGTGCTCACGTGGGGTGATGCCTGCTCTCATAATAGCAACCAACCCATCCTCGTCGCTCTGAACCTTGTGGACTTCCAAGTCCCAATGGGACAAGATCACTCCCCATCTAACGCAACGTCCGTTGGCGCTCTTAGACTTCAACAACCAAGACAGGACGGAATACCGCGTGTAGACCTTGATCGGGCATCCCCTGACGAGATTCTCGAATACATCCAATAGGCGCATGATCGCGATCACCTCCTTCTCTGCCTCGTGATACCTAATCTCGGTTTCATTCAGCACCCGTCCGGGGAATCGTACGGGTAAGATCTTCCCATCATACTCTTGTCCTAGGCCGGCGCAGACCGCCCAGCGATTCGCATGTGGAATGATCACGAACAGCTTGTACCGGTCGGGGTGACGCAACAGAGGCGTAGACACGATTTTTCGCTTAAGAATCTCGAACGATTCTTTGGCGCTGGACAAATCTCTTCCAGCCTTGATCTGCTCATCAGTCAATTCATGAAGTCCCGCCGCCACTACCGAGAAATCCTCGATGAACTTGTGGTAGTAGTTTCGGCTTCCCAAGAAGGACTGAACTCCTTTGAGCGTTGTCGGGAACGGTAACTCTTGAACGGACTTCGCGATCTTGGGTATAGTCCTAATACCCTCGGCACTAATTTCATGAGAGAATTACGGAATGGTGAGCTTGCCGGATTCACTCTTGGGGAGGCTGACGGAAATATTCCAATAGCGTAGTCGATATAGCAGAGCGTTCAAATCCTCGCACAACTGGTCCCAGGTGGGCGCCCCATGGGCGATGTCGTCGATATACGAGCTCCGTCCGAGGACGGGTCCCATCTGCGATGATGCTGGGATATTCCGCTTGAAAGCCGTCATATTATCTGTCAGGATAGGCACCTCCCGGGCGGACTTCTCACGCTGGACTTCTTCTTCGTCTGCTGAATTTAAACCTAGGAACTTCAGAACGTCCGCATCCACAGTCTTCTCTTCCTCTGGCGGTAACCTGACGAATCCCCAGAGACAATTGTTGTTCATCTCTTGATATATCAACGGGGCGTTCATGAGACCAAATGGCATTCGAATCCATTGGAAATGGCCGAATGGACACAAGAACGCGGAGATCCGCTTCGCTCGCTCGGTCATACGTATGGCCCAAAATCCACTAGCCATGTCTAATGGCATGAACGACATGGCTTGCTCGAAGCCCACCAGGAGGTCGTCCATCAGCGGCAGCGGATAATTCAACAGCTCAATGAAACTGTTCACCAGGCGATAGTCAATACACATGCGAATGTCAACTCCATTTTTCATCAGGACGATCACGATAAGCGAAGCCCAAGCAGAGTCAGACATCTCGATGAGTCCAGTTTCTAGGCGTTTCTTCAGTAACTCGTAGACCTTCATCGCAACCTTGGGAATTATCGATCTCGGTCGAAATGCTACTGGTTTGGCTCCTCTGACGTCGATGTCGCATACCACGCCCTGTGCCGGTGCCGGAGCTGCGTTTCCATCACCTAAGAAGATCTCGGAATGTCGTCTGAAAACGTCTCTTAGCTGCGCTTCCTCTGCTGGAGTGGTCCGTCCGGGGACCCCACATCTGCCGTGGAGATATCACACTCAGATGTGAGGTCGCTCAAATTCGGCAACATCATGAGGTCATCACGCAGCTGAGACATCAACTCGCTTTCCTCATGGATGTAAACACCAGGTTCTAGGTCCAAATCTTCTTGCGTAGCCTTCCTCACTCGGATGTACTCTGCCTCCAACTTCTGGACGGGGGTCCGCTCATCCGTTTGGCTCGAGGAACCTGGCAGGGTTCCAACGTCGGTTGCGTTGGACCGCCCGGACTCTTCCGTCGGATCCACTGACCTTTCGGGCTCTGGTTCGGCTTCGTATTCTATCCACGCTCTGTCTCGACTCGCATACAGGATGTTCTCACATTCGTTCTCCCATCCGGGGTCCGTCTGCGTCGATACGTCGCAGGTCTCGCACCTTTGGGGTTCCCACATCTGAAGTCCTCTTGCCTGTGCGCTTCCCTATGTGGTGTCGGGATTTCCAAGCGCAAGACTTGCCAGCGCGAGTGCAG